TTCTTAATAATATTAATTCAATTTACACAATATACATCTTATTTTTTCATTTTGCACACGCTTATTAACAATATTCCTATGTACAATTGATTGACCTTGTTTATACAGATTCGTATAAAGCAATAAATATGCTTAGGTTTACAGAAGATAACTTTGGGATTATTAATGATTCTTATTTATTAAATGAGTGACTGATGCAAATTATTTACAAATACACAACAAATGATTTAATATAAACACATGTAATTAACTATCTACGACAACGCTTAACAATGAATAATTAAATACAATCATACAATAAAGTATTCTGAAATTTTGTTATTGGATTCTAGAATCTTACTTTTTTCTTGTTTGCTAGGTCACACTTCAAATAATAACAGATACTTCTCCATATACGTGTAATCCATACTAGAATACACCTTTTAATGGACTTTATCTTCCTAGGCTGACAATAAAATAGAAGGTAAGATGAACAGCTATGCACTCTCTTCGTATAAATATGTAATCTGGAGAACACACGTTTACTCTATTCCTAAACAAAAAAAACACAGATAATGTTTTCCCCTTCCCAGCAAATAATATACTGATTTGAAAACTCTAAAACTAGTGTTTTTCGAAAGATATTATTAATTACTCTACGTTTTGCTTTGAAACTATATCAAATAAAACTATTAGGCTCCAGTTTTCTATGACACTTTTGCAGGAACATTAAGTATAAGATAAGAGACACCATTAAAATGTTTCTTCATTCCTTTTTTTCTTTTAATCAAGTATTTTCATTTGACATAATCATTTCTTTGGAGTAGAATTGCTCTGAATACATTTAAGGAAACTAAGATACTATGGACAATATAGAATCAATACAATCTTTCTCTCCAATAAAGAGAGGTCCCTTAGCATGACAAAGACTTTTCAATATTGTGTACTGATAAAATTTGAAATTTAAAATCCACTGGTATTTTATCAGATACAGTTTCTAATGATGAGACATTTAACTCCCTGTAACCCGTTTTTATTGAAGTCTAAAACGAATATGCATTGCAAATATTTTGTACATTAGGAGCTTTAATAGTGTCCTAAATTAATAGGTACCTATTTTTATCGATTGTGTGTAGAAAATAGACTGGACTGAATTGAGATGTTAAAAATACCTAGTCACACGTAACATAAACTTTCCAGAATTTTGAACATCTGAAATATGTTTGTTATATAACGCAAAACATTTTCCAACTACCATGTACAATAATAAAAAAGATTTCATATTGTAAAAAAATTAGACGTCACACCCACAACTGTTGTCAATGCTTACAATATGGTAGGATAGGAGATTTTAAAACATAAATGTCAAATATCTTCCAACCTATTAAACACCTGCCCATCAAAACTACAGCACTACCATTAATACTCAAAGTCTTATAACTATACGAAGGACATTACAAAATCAGGACACCACCTTCAGTCCTCTCCTTGCGAGAGTAAGTGAGTAAGCGAAATACACAGGAGCTAAATATAAAATATCTCCTGAGATTTCTAAGTGGCTGAATACCCATATGTTAATTATTAGTTCAATACAAAGTAACTTAATTTGCAATATATTTTTTACGATACTTTCACCGATGATTTATTGGGACATTTTTGTTTTATAAAAAGTAAATTAAATACAACATAATGTAATTAATTTTTAAGAATACTTATAATAATAAGGGAGA